TTCCTGGACGGTCGACTTGTCTTGATACCACTGTCGAAACCAACGCAAGGCGCATAGCCCGCAGCTGGGATCGAACCTGGCATCCCGGCAGTACGAAGCGTTTGCATCGACTTAGCCACAGAGCCGACGCCAGATTTAGACATAAGCTAAATAGGCTACAGCTAAGGGCCTCACAATTTGCTTGGGCTCAAACAATATCTTCTTTTTTTTGTAACGTTGTGTATTTATGTGAACATAATAAATGATTCTGCATTTGCAAAATCAAATGGAAAAAAAAAAAAACAATTTTAAGCTGTAACTTAAAGGATTATTTAATTTCTAAGATTTTGCAAACAAATTATGTATTATTTCTTTTAATGAAAAATTAAACGTCAATATATTTCCACTATCCATATATTAAAAATGGTAATCCAGTTAACAACATTTATGATGAAGTCGGTAGAAAGGCGCAAAATATCTCAGCTATGCTGTAAATAGTTACAACAAATTGCGTTGCTAGGACTCACCGGCTGTAAACTCTGGCGTACATTTTGATTGATCTTCTACCTCTAGACGTTAGACATTGTTACTTGTATATCTTATTTGCGCAGCGTAAGCACAGTCGATAAGAGACTCGCTTTCAAATCTAGCTGAGACTCGCTGCAGCTCACGGCCGTTGTTCGTAACCAGGCGGTTCACCCAGCCTGTAGGTAATGGGTACCAGAGTTAACACTGGGGTAACTGGAGGGTCGTCGTTGTAGCTACGAAGTTGCGTGGGGACGGTGACAGTTTCTTATTAGTTTTCCGTACTGGTGGCAGAGCACTTATGGTTTATAACCGTGTGCAATAACGCTGGTTCACATCTCCCGACTTTTTACCTTTTCATCTTATTTCATGCACAGTTCTTTGCCTCTCAGGCAGATGTACTGCGGATTTGAAGGATGCTCCCCAATTAGTCGATTCCTACGACATGGTAATTGAGAACGCAGTGAGTCTATTCTTGTTTTCCCCACAACAGGTGCCCGGAACCAACAAGGGAAGTTCTAGTACAAAGATTATTCACTGGTAAGCGACGAATTGGTCGACCAATGTACACCATTGATGCCCAGGCATGCAGTGTATATAGTATAGTAGCCTGCAGCACCAAATGCAGACTCAACAGACTCTTAAAGTATGAAGTTACAAAATCAATATCAAATCTGATAAACACCATAATATGCAGTGGCAATCAATAACGATTAATTTATTAAACAAATAAGAAAACAAGAGGACATTTCTCAGATATCCACCGCCTCCAACATGGCCATTTGCTGGCCCTATGACGCAATCTCTCCTACGCATGCGCAGAGCCAGGTTCTAAAAACGCGTCCATGTTTTTCCGACCTTGATCACGAATTTCGTTTCAACGGAAAAAACGAAATTTATCACAATTAATTCTTCCATGTCCACCTACAACATTAATTCTACATCGATACAGTTTCGCCTGAACAAGTATTAAGGGTAAGTGTTCATTAAAGCTTTAAATTACATTTTAAATTGCATTCCTGTGGAGAGAATATGAAATAATTGCCTAGAGGTGCTGCTTTCGTTTCCTCCATTTTTGCCCGTTGTGTTGTTCAATCAAATTTGAGCAAATGTAAGAATTTAACCGGGCCACAACCGCAACTTTTGTTTTTATTGAAACGAATTTCATTCAGTTTTTTAGTCGGGAACATTGTAGATGCAGGATAATTAATGATTTGATTAGAAATTATGTGCTTTTTTCACACTGCTAGGGCCAGCCTCGTGAGAATGACAGAGCATGCTGGAGTAGTTAGACTGGCTGGTCGTTGTAAGCGTGTCATCATGGAGAACCTGAGAACTTGCAAAGTTAACGATACTTAGTCACTTAGTGATGGCTCTGGTTCTGTTTCAGTAAACTATGATAATCCAATCTTGTTTGTGATCAGCTATTACATAAGTAAATGCATTTTCCTTCTCATCGTTTATGGTTTAACTTTTATTGCAGTAAAGTACTAAGTACCCCAAAGTCAGTGTGTGATTACATTACATTGATTGAAGAAGAACTGAGCTGTCACAGTGGGTGATGTTGATAGTGATCATAGTTAGTCAGTACTAGTACTGAAGTACTTGTATAGTTTATGTTTATGAGTGGTTATTTTGTATAGTATACAGTATACCAGATGTCAGTCAGCCTAAATTCTAAATTAAAATGTTATATACAATTCATACATAATGTACTTATTATAGTAAAAGAATGCAGCAGCACAGCTCAAGCTGCAGTTGTTAAAAATGACATTTTCATCATAGGGTCGCAGTCTGTAAACTCAATGTCAATTAGAGTTGGTCTATTATCTCTAGGGCTATAGGTATATGACAGGGACCCAGTACATGTCTAAATAATTTATGTCCTGCACAGTGCAGACACACATACCTGATACCTTTTAAGATAAATGTTGATGATGAGATGTCTATAATTATAATGACTGGACTGGATTGCACCTATGAAATTGACATAATGGCTCAGAATAGTGAATAGAATAGAATGGAAGTTTACACAGGTTGTAAACTCTCAAACAAATTCTGGTCCATTGAACTTTTGGATTTTAGTCTGTGTTGTTTCAGACTTTTGCTTGCATGTCTGTGACGGTAAATAGAACACCAGATCAACATACCAGCATCTGGAAGGAGAGACATTACCACAAGCTAAGGAATGTTAAGCACTTTAGCAGTGACGATTTACTGAAGATAGAGGATTGGACAGAGAAAAAGACAACAGAATACAGAAAGAGAACAACATAAATTACCAAATAGCCTTACTTTTGATGCATGAGCTTATGAATGTGCTATTCATACCAAGTTTGTGCTATCAATGCTATAAGTAAAAATTCTTAGAAAAACATATCACAGAATTACATATGAGATGAATAATAAATGTGGCCGAAAACAAGAAGAGACAGTCACCAGTGAAGGAAAGACTGAGAACAGTGACAGGAACAGTGCCCATTATTGATTTAATACAACTACAAAGAATGAAATGGTTTGGTCATCTGGTCAGAATAGAACAAAATCAGCCAGCAGCTAGAGCGAACTACATAAGAATAGCAGGCTGCAAGGCAGGAGGCCGACCCAGAAAGTGGGGAGGGGGTGACAGTGCAGAAATGCTATACAGAATTGTGAGAGGAAAAGACTAGACTCACCACAGCTGTAAACAGTAACAGCTTTTGTTTCACATTCCCCCCCACACAAGTTCAGAGATCCTTGTTTTGGGAGGTACCGCCCTTCCCCCACACAAGCATTGTGTAAAATTAGAGAGTTTGCTAAAATCATATGTGTTGGAATGAAAGGCTTATATGTCGCAACCTAGCTGTAAACTACAAAACAGCGGGCCAGTGCTCATGTTAAGGAGAACAAAGAAAACAAAAAGACTTTGGCCTTTTACCCGTATCAAACACAAACCAAGCCATCCTGTCTTTTTCTATCGCAGGTAGCTCACTTTTTTTTTTTTTTTTTTTTTGAACTTTGCTCACTGATTCTTTTGTATATAAACCAGGAAACATTTGTAGAATACAAAGGACCAAGAAGAAGAGAATTGACTCATAAACAGCTTGAGGATAGTAACCTACACCCAATGTACTTGTCTTGGAAAAGGATCATTTATGTAACATTACTTCTGTCACATCAAATCCATGGCGGATTGGAAAGAAAATAATAATAGCAGAAGGCATGGTACCAGGAAGAAGGAGGCTGTCCAACACAAACATAAGCACAGTATATAGGTGACTCCTTGAATAGGAAACTAGACGGGGCGGGAGAGCTGGCAAGAGACCGTGATGAGACCGACGTTCTGCAAAGGACCTGCTACATTATGATGCTAACTTCTGTGTAAATACATCTTTGATACCTTTTATATTTTCAAGGCAATATAGTGTTATCTTATAACTCCAGCGATAATCCCTAAGGATTTCCATTACAATTTCACTAGTGAACTAAACAACAGATCTGTGAAATGAATTATGAGTGTTGGCAAAAGGCTTGACAACATCTCCGTGGGATATCCTATCCTTTAACTTTTGGTATTATATGGTGGTTAGTAGGTTAGTTTATCGACAGATTACCCTAACTGCATTGGACAGGTGTTATATGGTGCTGCAGGTAAGCATGGAATTCACAGCCTATGCCGATCACAAATGGGACTAGGAAGACCAGTTGCATAAAATCTTTCAGTCCCAGAAAGTCACAGCTGAAGCTCAAATAAGGCAATAATGACAGAGAGGAGAAAAAAAGGGTTTTACTACACCAACAGGAGCTAAATAATCTTGTTGGAGTATTATATGTTGTTGGATGTTTACTATGCCCTGACCTGACATTTAATATACAAGTACAGTAATATTTTGACTGGTGTATACGGGTAACTGCAGTTATACAAGGTGTATTGTTTGCTATTGAAAAAGTTAAGGCTGAGAATGAACTCCATTCACTCCATAGTGCAGTGATTCCCAAACTGTGCGCCTTGGGAAGCCGCGAAATATTTGAAGATACACTTTTTTTTTCTGGTTTATCTCTTACATATGAAAAGTTGTACTTTTACTTGATAGCATTGCATTTCCTCTTCCAGTAAGGCTAGCATGCTTCCAGGTAGGCTCCACTGTAAAATGTGGGATGTCAGGTTTAGTCATCATCTGGTATTTATAGAGAATAGGTAGTTCTGACCACTGTTATATGATAGCTCAGTAATATTTGACCAAGACCTGACCTGGTTTAAAACATGTTGGCTGTTGTCTTCTGCTTAATGTTCACCGGCTGTAAACTGCGATGGGAAGTTCCGTTTTAATCCACTTTTGATCTTGTTTAATAAAAACAGCAGTCAAGATATTGCATTGTAACTGAAGCTAACATTTTGCTGTCTGGTTATTACCTTTGGATTTCCATTTATATTTTATTATTATTATCATCCATTATGCAGTTTACCTTCTTTTCTCTTAGATTTGACTGAATTTGTTCAGTCAGACCTGTGTGTGATGGAGGAAGAGAAAGCTAAAGAAAGTGGTGGTAAGAATGTAAAAAAATCATCTGTATTATATTACTTGATACAAGAGGATGGTCTGAAAGTGGTTAGTTTAGATGCATTTAGGGGTACAGAGCTGCTGCACCACACATAGTGGTGCACAAGGACCAGGGGGTAACACAGGTCGAGACCTGCTTACACCTCTCTGCAGTTGTCCCAGAAACAGGTTCCCTACCGGTAGCCTATTGCCAGTATCTATAGGATGGGTTTTTCATTTGAAGTTGGAGTGCATCTGTCTGAATGTTGAATTAAGAATCAACATCATAACACATGTGGCACTCCCATAAGTGCTCCATCCCCATCTTCAGCAACAAGTGAAGAGTTCCAGTTTCGATGGCACAAGTAACTGACTGATTGTATATCCGTCTAGTGTTTGTGTTGAGCGTTGGCCAGATCCCCTGGTAACTCCTTGCAGCGTGATTATCCTTAGACTATGCATCTGTCTGAGGGGCAGGGAACCGAGTCAGCCCACAAATAAGGCACTTTGAAATGGATGTGCACTGCAAGGGTTTTCAATCAGGAAATGTGACAATGAAGATGAGGGTGTCGTAATATTGTACTTTTGATGTGTTAATAGTGATGTAGAAAACCTTGATTTTTGCCTCATGTTTTTCTGCTTCTCCTTCTTTTTTTTGTTGCTGTCTTTCCTCTTCTAATGGAGCAAATGCCCTCAGTCAACACACACCAAGCTCTGCTGTATGTAGACTTGTTCACAATTGGAATGATTTTACATCTTTTCTTTTTTTTCTTTTCTAGAAAAGGCTAGCAAAATTAGAACATTATACATATACACAACTAAAATAATGAATTGTGCTGTTCTTTGGTCGCAGGACAAGAAGAAGGGCATTTCAAACTACTTTTGAGAAAAGAGACATATTATCTGATTGTGAACTTTATCCCTTGTCACTTAGACCACTTGTAAGGCAAAGAAGAGGGTGCTATCTTAGACACATCCTGAGAATAGACAAACAGAGAATCACCAGACAGGCATTACAGTGGGGAAGCTGAGGGACAGAGGAAACAAGGACGTTCAAGAGAAACCCTGAAGTAAAAGTTAATAAGAGAAGCCAAAGGTGCTGGACTGAGATTCCATTTATGATATTGAAGCGATTGCACAAAATAGAACAAAATGAAGTATGCTGCTAGCCCTAGGAAACAAATAACAGCTCAAAAAGAGACTGAATGAATTGTTAATTAATTTTGTTGATTCTTTATAATTGTTTTAATCAGTGCTGTTTGTTATTTTTGGTACACACTAAATCTGTTTTTGAAATTCTAAAATGTGTAAAATTCAGGTGATGTTGAATGTGATGTTTGTGGCAAGGGACATTTGACTGAAGAATGTCCTGAACTAGATCTTTCCAGCTCCAAGTTCATTCCACAGATTTCCAAGTATGTCTGACTTCATATTGTTTATAAATATATGACACTTATTTGTAAACACCTTGCTCCCCAAACAAGCAAGTTGGAAAAGGTGACTTTAGAGGTTTCCTGAAATTTGATGTTTTGGGTCAAAGGGTGCATATATCACAGCCTAGCTGTAAGCTGCAGCACAGCATGCCAGTCACTGTTTAGAAGGGAAATGAAGAATTTAAAAATTCCACCATTTGAATCCAAGACTTTCAGGCTAGCAGACGAATATCTGGTCACTGCGTTAAACCTTGTGTTCCTGAAAATGAAACCTACTCAAAAATAAGTCCCAGCACGATTTTTTAGTATGCTTTAGTATAAGACCTTCCACAAAAAATAAGTTCAGTCCTAGTTGAATTATTCAACTAGAATGAGAGAAATCAGCATAGAAACTTTGTAAAACCTAGTTTGCAGGAGGTCGTGCCTTTAGTCTTATTTTGGGGGACCCGCAGAAAGCAGCTCCTTAATGGAGAGTTTAAAAAAAAAGTTCCAGTGTTCTTTTCAGATACTGCCATTGTTAGGCCTCTGCATGTTTAGACCGACATATGGGGTTGGATGGCTAACTCCCTCGTGTGTTTTATTTTCTAAAATTTCTCTGGCAGCCATTTAATAAGGGTTGGTTATTCCCAGTAGGGTAGTTGTCGGGGAAAGGGTGTAGTCGCCAGGCAAAGGGGGTATAGTCATCGGGAAGGGGAGTCTGGTCTCTGATGGCGAAGTAACTTGATCTTGTCATGTGATGGAAAAAGTGGTAGTTGCTGTCAATTAGATAAGATCCCACTGGATGGGTTCCAGGTCCCCATTTTTTGGGAAGAAATGATCAACTCACTACCCCCCAATTAGCATAAATGGCGTTAGGACTGTTTCCTTTGAAATCGGAGTGCATCTGCATTATAGGTGAGGTACTAACAGTCTGTATACAAATAAGCCAGATTTGTAAAACAGATGTGCATGCAAAACTCAAGTTTTGGAACAGGATTGAAGTCTAAAAGTTGATGGTAATCAACTTTCCGTTGGAGGTATAGATAGTGAAAATGAAGAAGAAGATGTGACCATGGAACCAGCAAGCAGGTATGCTAGCCATTGCACTATTGCAGCTTTCATTAAAAACAATACATCCAGTATCATCTTTTAATGTGTAGAGAATCATTTAGAAATATCTACCATTTGCAAGCACTTCTTTTTCTTTGCTTTTACCGGTTGTAAACTCGGGAGCAAAGTTATGGTTGTTCATCAACCTCTGGACTTTAGACTTGTTCCAGAAACTGACTGTTAGTTCCTTGCCTCTCTGGCAGACGCACTGCGACTTTGAGGGAAACCCCGCAATTAGTTGACTTTGACGACATGCTTGTGGGGGAGGCAGTGGGTCTATTCATGTTTTCTCAACAATGGGGCCTGTGAACCCACATGGGGGACAAGCACTTAAGATTCATGTCATTATTTCTTCACAGGGCACGGCTTACAGTTCCTCTGTACTTAAACCCTGTAGAGTTTCCAGATGGAGGAGTTGGCATCATTGCCTTGCAGCCCATTTTCAAGAAGACTCAACTGGGGCCTTTTGAGGCCAAAAAGACTATGCATGATATTGAACGGGATGATCTGTTTGTGTTGAAGGTCAGTATCAGGCAAGGCTGTTACTGGTTATATTCTTTTTTTTTTTTAGTATCTCAATGTTTTCCCCATCTTCAGATGCTTTGCTGTTTTTGTCTTAGTATGTATGATTCCCCCTTGTCTGTGTAAATTAGAATTGTTATAAATATATAATTCATTTACTTTAATAATTTTTTTAAAATGCTTTTAATTTATTATTTTGTATAATTATAACTTACTTAGTCGCTCTTCTTCTACCTTGGGGTGTAGAGGTTTGCCAGAGAGATCGCCAGACGTCTCTATCAGCAGTTTTCTTTCTGGCTTTGTTCAATTCCAGTCCTCTGTCAGTTAGGGACTGTCGAATGTTGTCTTCCCAGCGCATCCTGGGTCACCCTGAAGGTCTGGTTTCCTGGTTTTTAGCCCCCCATGCCTGCTGCCATGGTGATCGATTTTCTCCAATTGTATAATTAGAAGAATTTTATAATTATACAAATTATTTAAAAAAAATTCCTCCATAAACATGGATCGACAACATTAAAGACACTCTACGCCTTCACGGCATGACAATAGCCAGTGACAGCTAACGTGCACTGGATCGCAAATTATTCCTCCCCACAACGCTTAACGGCAGAAGTGGTTTACGATGATGATGATAGTGAAAAAATTTTGTGAAGTGTTCTTTGTTTCTTTCTTTTCTCTGACTTCTGTTTTGCCTTTCAGCGTCAGATTGTGAGTAGGCCAGCCTAGGTTACACCAAGGTTTTCTCAGCCTCAAATATTCTATCTATTCATGAGTAACAAGGCTGTCTGTATTGCATGATGTAAACCTTAGTGTTTGCAGGGTGGAGCCTGGTTTTCTCAGCTTCAAATATCCTTCTATTCATGAGTAACAAGACTGTCTATTGCACTTTCCTATGGCAGCCTGGATACTTGACCAAACCATCTAAACAGTATTACAGTAAAACCTTGTTAACAGGAACTCGCTTAAGAAGAACACTCAGTTAACTCAAACAGAATTTTCAAACCAGCCAGGCTGTATTATTATTTCCCTATGTGGGTTGCAGGGCCCTATTGGGGAAGGCAAAAGAATAGGCCCACTGCCCCCTAGCAAAAAATGGGGTAAAAGTCGACTATTTAATGCTGCTTTCTTTGAAGCAGAATGAATCTGCTTGAGATGGAAGGAACTAACAGTCTGCATAAACTAAGCCAGATCTGTAAAACGGATATGAAAGCAAAACTCAAGTTCTGAAACAGTAGCATAGTTCAGACATGGATGAACAACCAACGCTTTTCACTTGTCACCAGAGTTTACTGCTTAATGAATGCGTAGAATAAGAAATTTACTGTTTTTTTATAGACAACAAACCAAATAGTTTGGCCATGTAACAAGATTGGCGTCAGACAGGCACCACAGAGAGCAGTGTTATACATCTATAGTGGTAACAGAGCCAGAGGTTGATCATGCAGAAAGTGGGCCGCAGAAATATCAGACACTGAAAAGTACTTTATATGAAGCGAACAGAAGGGCCTGTTCCAGAGGTCTCTTCCTGTCCTGACGCTGCGAGGCATTCCAGGAGGAGAGAAATGAAGAAGAAATATTAATTGCCCCTGTTTAGCATCATTTAAAAAACGCTTATTGGAAATTTGGTCCCTTTGAATTCATGTTACCTGTTTTTTTTTTTAAATGTAGATAAAGATGGGGAACTGATAGAGATATTAAAATAAGAATACAAAAGGCTTTCATAGCACTAGGGAATTTGTGGAGGTCAAAAGAAATTAAAAGAAATACTAAACTTAAAATTTTTATTTTAATATCAAGTCAGTACTTTTGTGTGGGGCGGAAACATGGAGAACAACTAAGGCAATTATTAATAAACTACAGATATTCATTAACTGGTGCCTGCGCAGAATAGGGAGAATTAAATGGTATGATAGAATCACCAATGTAGAGCTTTGGGAGTGAACTAAGCAAGCTCCATTGGACCAAGAGGTGAAGAATAGATGCTGCTTTTGGATAGACACACATTGAGAACAATATAAATAGAATTTCTTTGCACTGGAACCCCCGGGGGCATAGGAATAAAGGAAGACACAAAAAAAAACACATGGAGAAGGGAGCTGAAGTTAAAGGGGAGGACATGGGGAGAGCTGCATGCGATAGCAAAAAAAAATAGAATGACTTGGCATGAGTTGGTTGAATGCCTATGCTCAATTGGGAGCTAGAAAGGCAGAAGAAAAATATGTTTAATATATATTCTTCTTCTTCATGTTCACCAGCAGAAGGTTCTGGCTGTTCATCCACTTTAGGACTGCAGTCCTGTTCCAGAACCTGAGTCTTGCGTGTGCATCTGTTTTACAGATCTGACTAATTTGTATGCAGACTGATGGTTCCTTGCCTCTCAGGCAGATGCACTCCGACTTCAAAGGAAGCTCCCAATTAGTCGACTCTTACGACATGCTTTTCGGTAGGCAGTGGGTCTATTCTTGTTTTCCCTATAATAGGGCCCTGGAACCCACGCGGGGATTTAATATATATATATATGTATGTTTAAGAATATGTATGTTTTAAGTAATATGATAAACACATCATTGTTGAACCCATAACCCGGACCTGTGCTGTACAGATTCTCTCCAAGGATGGCAGCTTCATCAGCCTGGATGCCAGCAGCGAGGCCCACTGTAACTGGATGGCTTTGGTGCAGGTGGCCAAGACAGAAGAGGAGCAAAACTGTATGGCCTACCAGCTGGGCATCAACATCTTCTTCAACACCACCCGTGACGTGGCTGCTGGGGATGAGCTCAAGGTCTGGTATGCTCCTCAGTATGCCAAGAAGTTGAAGAAGTCTCTGTTACCAGATGGGACAACAAAATGTAAGTGTCCAGTAAAGATATTAGATTTTGCTTAACCCATTGGGGAAGACTGGGCCGATCTGTCAACTCAACAGTAAAGTGTAAAGTAGCCAAAAAGATGGCTAGGCTGATCTGTCAGCTCGGTAATATAAGCCTTGAGATTGGCTGGCTGGTCTTCATACCAGCTAATTAGATTGCATATCCCATTTCTTGCACATGTGTGGGCTGTTCATTTGTGGTTTTCATGAAAGTTTGTTGCATTCTTTAATTTTACGTTTTTTTTTAGGGTTACTTGTGCCCAACAATGGTGAAAAGGACGTGTCAAAGCAACCAAAATATAACAGGAGGCAAGAAAAGGAGTAGAACCATATGCTGGAGGTCCTACAAGGTCTTGCTTCCAAAAACACAAGTTTCTCTTTGTGAGATGCAATTTTTCTTTATTTGAAGCCCCACCCTGGCTCTTGTCAGGGGCCGCAATATAGCCTGACCATAAATATGGTCTAATGGTTGAATCCGGTTTCTGGGACCTCTCCACGGTGATCCTCACCCGCATGGGGGCACTTTGTGTCATCGGGTGTTTATCGCTTGTGTGATGTCCTGATGGGGTAAAAATATACTCTACTCTTCTATGCTCTTCTGGCTGCTTTACCCAAAAACAATTCGTGGTGCTGTAGAGTTTCTCTAATGTTATCATCCTATCTTGGTCTGCCCCTTGCTCTACGTCCTTTTCCTCTTTCGGTATATGCCTTGTATGGTATAGCTTCAGAATGCATTCTCTGCAAGTGGGCAGACCATTTGATTTGCTGTCTTTGTGTGTAATTTAGAATTGGCTCTGTGCCGACTTTATCTCGTATGACCTCATTCCTGGTTTCGTCTTTTCTGGTCACCCCCACAATCTTTCTCAGACACTTAATTTCCATGAGTTTTGCTTATCAATGTGTTAATATTATGTATTGTTTTTCCATTTCAACAGCCATGCTGGGAGAAGTTCTCCTTCCAGATGCAGATGCCGTGGAAGAAGTGCATGAGAATGATGGGATGGAAGGGGAAGAGTCCAGGGATGCAGACGAAAGCAGAGACTCAGATGATATTCATCCTGATGATGTTGAAGGAGATTACACGTGCAAACATTGTTTTGAAAAGTTTACCTCACAGTTTCTGTTTGCCAAGCACATTCGGGATCATCTGTTCCCTGTGTATAACTACACAGAAGGGCCGCCAAGACGAGGCAGGAGGCCTGTTCCCTTGAAAATAGGAGACTACAAGAGCTATTCAATGGGGCTGAGAGGAAGACCTAGGGGCATAGGCAGGGGAAGAGGTCGTCCAAGAGGCAGCCACGCCAGAATGGTCAGAACGGGTAGTGGAAGGGGACCAGGACGGCCGAAGCGGGTTTTCCCAGAGAGTGAGACTGAAGAAGAACCTGGCTCTAAAGTTGCAAAAATTGTGGCAGATGATGGTGAGGAAGCAAATAACCAAGCCGGAATGGAGAGTTTTTCTGAGGTGGCAGAAAATGGCAGTGGTGATACTGTAGAGACTTCAAATAAAGAAGAGGAAGCTGAAGAAATTAATGTTGTAGAAAAAAAGAGAAGAGGACGGCCTAGAAAAACTAAAGCAGAGATTCCAGAAGATTCATCTGTTGTAGATACATCAGAGGTGTCCCCTAATAAATTTGATACCATTGAGACACCTTTGGTCTATGAATCTTTCCAGCGCCCACGCAGAAGTGCCAGAGCATTTAGAGGATTGGGCAAGCTCGGAAAATGGCTGAAATATCCTGGAGAGGCATCTTCGGATGAGGAAACCCCTGTTGGAGAATCAGAAGAAGATGAGAGAGTCAAGCCAGTTCGCAAACGATTTGGGGTGGCTATGGCAGCCTCACTGCGAAAGGCAGCGATGGATGACATAACATCGCCAGTCCCCAGAAAGCGAGCAGTAGCAAGCCTCAAAAGTCCGAGCCGTGATTTTGGAGATGCTGCAGCGGTGAAAAATATTAAAGCTGAGAATGTAGAGCTGTCCAGCATTGAAAACTCATCCGTGCTTCAAGAAACTGCCAAGGCTGATGATATGATTAGTACTGTCTCCGTTGAAGACCCTCAGACTGAAGAGTCTCCCAAGAAATACATTGTTGTTACCAAAGGTGACACAACGACAGCCTACGAGATCACCGAATCACTTGAGATGGGGCCTTCAGATTCAATAGCTTCTGTTTTATCCGAAGCTGATATTCAGAGCCATATTTCAGACCCAGGGAGGACAACAGAAATGGGCACTGTAGATATTTCAGAGGTGGTTCATGAAGAAGTCGAATCTGCAGTCAGAACTGATTCTGGAAATAATAAAGAAAATGAGGTGGAGGTTGGTACTCAAGAGGAGGTGGTTGGCGTGGCTCAGCATGAGAGGAAGAACACAATCGCCGATCTGGACGGAACTGATGCTCTTACTGCCCTGGTTAATGCTGCCATTTCTGCGGACAAAGTTCCGGATCCTATTGCTATGGTGGCTGCAGATTTATATGAGGAGAGGAGCATGGATGATGATAGTGATTCCGATGAGTATAAAGCATCGTACAGGAAGGTCAGCAGCAGGGGCAATGGATATGTACAGACTCTGGAGGCGGGGGAAGTTGACGAAAGCGACCCGCACTCTCAACCTTTGAGGCAGCGGCGGAAGAAGCGCCGCCGGGGTGATGACCCAGAGCTAGAGGACTTGGAGCGGAGGACCAAAATCGTGGAAGGTCCCAATGGAACAGAGGAGTTTGCCTGCGGCATTTGTAGCAAGCACTTTACACAGCTGAAGTACCTAAAACTGCATCTCCCGGCTCACACAGACCGGTACAGGTGCAACATCTGTGGGAAGAGGTTTGCCCGAAATGAGTCGCTGATGAAGCATACCTGCGATGACACCGCTACTCTTGTGGAGCAGAATGTCGACGAAGATGGTAATGACACCTTTTGCTGCCGAGAATGTGGCCGGTCATTCAACCAGCTAAATTTTGCCATCCGTCATGCCTCGATGCACCGTGCACGCTTCAACTGTGAAAAGTGTGGCCGTACATTTTTGCGCCAGGTAAGATTTTTTTTTTTTTAAGTGAAAAATTTTAAAGCTAAAATCTATTATCACCATGTATTCTTTGCTGTTGTCTATCCAACAGAAAGGAGGAAGAATGAGCATAGGGTTAGCTTACTCACCCTGTAAAACAGGACTTTTCCAACGAACACCAGTTCTCAACCTATGGGTCGCGACCCTTTTTGGGGCCGATCGACCTTCTCCTGAGGGTCGCCAAAGACCCATCAGAAAACAAATATTAATTGAAGTTATGAAGTAGCGACGAATAAAGTTGCATGCCACAACATTTGGTACTGTATTAAAAGGTCGCCACACATGAGGAACTGTATTAAATCTGTGCAGTGAGAAACCAACAGTCTGCATATAGATAAGCCAGATCTGTAAAATGGATAGACACGCAAAATTCAAGTTCTGGAGCAAGACTGAATTCCAGGAATGGATGGCCAACCAGAACTTTCTGCCAGAATTTTCAGCTGCTGAACAAGAAGAAGAAGAAGAAAGAGATCTGGACAACCGTTGGTATCAACAGACAAGAAAATGGTGGACAAAGGATATAAGGAATTAGCCCTGCGTCGATTGAAGACTTATTTTCCATTTTGGAATCGAGTCCATAACAAGAAGTCTACGTGTCATAGAGAATTACATTTGCTTGTTTCAGAGATGCTACAGATTGTTCACTGTTCGGAGAATTTTCTTGTGTAATATATCGCATCTGTGGCTTAGGTGTTGCGAACGTGCTTTGTGCCAGGTTCGATCCCAGCTGCAGACCGTCTTGTGCTAGTTTCACCAGTAGTACCAAGGGTCGACCATTCAGCAAGCAATGGCAAGCTACTGAACATAAATTTGCCTAGAAAAAACCACAACTATAAAAAAAAATACTGGGGTTGGTTCTGCAAAGTCCTTTAAAGGATATGCAACTAACAAATCTATAGAAGGGGAGTGCTTATTAAGATAGTTTTTTAGTCGACAGATCATCCTCTCACCGAACTGTTCAGTCCATAAGTGCACAGATCCCACCTTTAGTACATCCTATATCGTATAGTAGCAGACACCCCTTCTGTGTTGGTCTGTTATTTTCCTTTGGCTTCCTGCATGGTGTTCTTGTCTGCCTACACCCTGTTTAGCTTGCTGTTCTTGCAGTTTCACCAATGTTTCAGATTCATCCGCTCCCCTCAGAAGCCTTAACTGCAAGCCTATCAGCTTGCTCATTTCCTCGTACACCTGTATGACCTTACTTACGGAGACATCTGTGTGTATCGAAAGGGATCCATTTTACAGACCTAACATCTACTGTCTATGATTTATTATTAACTCTTTCAGTACCAAGAATTTGTTTACCTTAATGTGTTCTGCCCTAAAAAAAAGTTACTTAAAGTAATGAGTGTTTGGGTCTGAGGATGCCCAAAAAAGAGCACCATAGAATGGGGTTTCCCTGTATAGGTTTCTGGGACCCCATTTTGGTGAGAACAATAATAGACCCCCCCTGCTCCCAGCCACATAGTCAAAAGCACTACCTGAGTGGCATGGAATCAACAGTTTGCATACAAATAAACCAGATCTGTAAAATGGATGTGCATGCAAAACTCAGGTTCTGGAACAAGAGATAAATGCCTAGAAGTGGATGCCAGCCAGAACCTTCCACTGGAGTTTACAGCTGGTGAAAACTAAGAAGAAGAAGAAGTTAGAATAGGGGCTGAATGTATGAGCTTAACAACTTGATAGGTAAGAAAGAGTTCAGGTTATTAGACTATGTCACTTGAAACAGAGTTGATGTGTACTGAATGAATTATAAACACATTTCGTTTTATTATGTGTTTGACTGCTGATCTTGTGCAGGATTTACTGGACGAGCACGATTGTGTGGGAGGACACCTGGAGGAAGGAGAAGTCCAGGGAGAAGCCATCCATGAGTGTCAGATTTGCAAGCAGTCTTTCACCAGCGGCAAATACCTGTTCCGTCACATGGCCATGCATACAGATATCTACAAGTGTGAGGTGAGTTATCGTCTTTTTGTGTTCTTTTTTTGTGTGTGCCTCAAAATAGGGCTCTGGAACCCTCTTGGTTCTAAAGACAGTTGATTGAGAATGTCAGTGTCAAGTAAAATTTTTGTTTTTTAAACAATTTTCTGAAGGAGACTAAGGTAGGTATCACAACAGTTTTCTCAATGCTCAGTCTCTGAAGGGTCAGATACATGGGTCACACTTGGAGAATAGAGGTGGGCATGAATGATACAGATGTTGAGGTAGATTTAAGGGGGGGTGTCAAAGACTTGCACGGAAGGGAGGGGGAATCAAGAAGGGAATGGGAATAATAGAGAGGGGAAAAAAGATTGGAGATAGAGAGCTGAGCGTCTGAGAAGATGTCTGCTGTGAACAGATTCTTTCCTTGTGTTTTATAACCTTTTCCTTCTTTTTACAAAGTTGTATATTATTTTACTTTTCTTTGCTACAGGTGTGTGCAAAATGTTATTCCCGAAAAGATTCCCTTCAGAGACACATTTCCAGGTGCTGTCCTGAATTGTCGGGTGAATACAACGTCCATGTTTGCCCCAACTGCAAGAAAACATTCGGTACTCAGTTAGGACTTCAGAACCACACACTCAACTGTGGGAAGTACCAGTGTGGAGCCTGTAAGGTGGCCTACTTTTCCTTGAAAGACCTGGCGGAGCATGAGTGTGCCGGCAAGGTTCTCAATGAGAAAGCCAGCGTCCAGTTTCCCTGTAAAGAATGCAACAAAACTTTTGCCAGCATCGCGTACCTGGTCCGTCACGAAGCGTCACATCATGGTGCGTTTAAGTGTGACCTGTGCAATCGTGTGTTTATCCGCAAGGAGGAGCTGAACTGGCACACCCCAGTTTGCACAACGCACCAGAAGATTCAGCAGGAGGGGAGTGCACCCTGTGAGACGTGCGGGGAGGTCTTCAATGAGTGGTTGGCCTTTAAGGAGCATCATATGACGCACACTCATCCACATAAGTGTGATCGCTGCGGCAAAAGGTTCATTAAGGTAAACAGTCATTTACATCTCTGTTTGTTGTATAACTATATCTTCTTTGGTTAAATATAAATTTTATGATTTTTAAATAAATTGAGGAGTGGCTGCCCGAGTGGTTACAATTGGCGCTCATGCCGGAGACCCGAGTTCAACCCCCAGTAAGTTAATGTTTTTCTGACGGGGACGAATTAAGCATCCTTACCTGCACAGTCTGTGGCTACAGCACTAGCCAGGTTGCCCTAAATACTTAGGCTCAAGGCCCCCGGTCTGCACCACCCCAACAGTCAGCAGTAATAGTTTGAAAGTAAATGTTTATTGTCAACAATAAGTTCCAGCAGATTTCATTTTTGTAACAATCTGTTTCACCCTAGAAAGTGGTAAAACAGACAGTAGTAACAGTGTGACAGTAAATTTCATTGTTAACAATAACTTCAATCAGATTTCATTTTTGTAACTATCTGTTTCACCCTGAAGAGTGGTAAAACAGACAGGTTTGACAGTAAAGGTTGTCAACACCAACTTCAATCAGATTTCTTTTTTGTTACAATTTGTTTATAGTCCCTTCACCTGACTGTCTACAGATAAGGCATTGACAAGTGATTTCCATTGCTGGCGATCTGATACCTTTCTGCCTGTGGTATCTGATGTAATTTTAAAAATTTCTCTGTTGTTTAGGTTCCCTCAGGATGTCCACGTCTCTTTTACATCTGCCATAGAGCTGTCCTTGCCATAGTGTCAGAGGGCATTCTGCACACATGTCCAAACCATCTCCATCTTCCTTTGATAACTTCGGCCAGTGATGAACATCGTGTTTCCATAATAAAAAATTTTTTTTAAATAGTCAAGTTTAAAGTTAAAGTCGAGAGGATCAGCTTCATTGCATCAGGTTTTATCCTATACGGCTCAGTCTCTCTCCGCAGAATGGCTAGCCACCTGCCAAGTACATGGCACAGAGCACGAACTCTGTAGCTCCGGCCCTCGATCCCCATGGATCTCTGTAAAAATTGCACCCCTGAAATGAACAACGCAGCCATGAAATGAAAACCGTGACCTTCAGAGCACGAGACAAATGGCTTGACCACTACGCCAAAGTGATTATAGAAATGGGTTATCAAACTACCCTAACCTGAAGAACCAGGGTGCTAGTTTGGTCTGGCCCTAAGTACCTCCTGCAGGCATTGCTGTGAGAATCATTAGAAGCACAATAGCCATCCTGCAGCACCATGGGATGCACAAAGTTATCTTTGTTTTCCTTACTGTTTGTTGTTTGATCATTGCTGCCAAAAAAAAAAGCTTATATTCGGTCAGTCAGGTGCCCAACTTGCAGGTTGGCTGCAACTGTTACCATTAATTTGTCTCTGACACTGGTTGCTCACTTCCTCAGTCTGCGGTTTGCCCATCACTCAGTTGTGTTGTATTATACCACTTGTATCACTGTCTGCCACATGTTCACCTGCCCTCAGCTTTAGCGTGGTTTTCTTTCATTCTCCTGTTGTATATGTTACTTAGAGCTTGCAGTCTATTCCTCTATTCCGTTCCGTCCATTGCAGTCAGTTCAGTATCATGAATGGAATCCAGTCCGACACCCCTGGCCTTGCTCATCAACGTTCACTTTAGGGTTTCTTTGGGGGGGGGGCGTCGCTTCGTTAAACCCTTTATTTCCCATTTTAATGCCTGTTTGGTACCTCTGCTGGTTTCTTCTGAGGGTGTGTCCAGTTAGGCCATCTTCTCTGTCTTAAAACTGTTGGTATAAGTGATTACCCTGACCTTTCTCTTATTTTTTTCATGCCTTGTGAATTCATTCTACCTGCAACTTCGAAAAGACAACTGGCCTCAAGAGCAAAGTGTGCAGAGCAAGCAATGGGGAACCATGCAGGACCTGCAGCTGACATGCGAGTTCATAGAGGCAACCCACCTGATGCTCTGATCTGAGCATACGAAACCGAACGCGAAGAAGAAGAGTTCATTCCATTTTATGTTCACCATTTTCCTCAGGCATTTGTTTTTGAATGCATTTAACTTTCATTTTTGAATGCATTCAACCTTCACTGGCATGTGAAAATTGAAGTGACATTAGAATTGAAAATACATGGCTTGGTTTTACAACTACACAGTTCGTTGTTCCATATTTTGTTAGGGCTTTTAAAAGCTGCTGATGTCTTGCCAGCGCATGTAATAATTTCTTTCTTTGTATTTCCTTCACTATAAAACTTACTAGAAAATTTATTTGTTACTTAAAATCTTTTTGTCTAGTGGTACATCTGCTTGATTTTTTTTAGTGTCATCAATATATTTGTCTAATATAGATTTTTCAAAAGTAAAAGAAAATTACAGAAAGAAAAAAAAACTTAGTTAATCCAAATATTGCTAATTTTACATTTGGTCTTTATTTTTGAAAAAAAAAAATAAAAAAAATTAGTCTACATGTAATTGTTTCTTGTGTTTCAGATTGGCAGCTTACACAACCACAAGTGTGAGGCTGTCGGAGAGACAGGGATGGATCAAAGCAACCTCCTGTCATGTGACATCTGTCAGAAAACGTTCAAAAATGAGCGCTATCTCTCGCGCCACCTGTCCCTACATGGCCAGCCAGAGTTTGGCTGCGAATTCTGTGGCAAGCTCTTCACCAGAAAAGATTACCTCAATGACCACCAGTGCCGCTTGCCAAATGGCACCACAGTCCGCATGGTGCGCAAGAAGAATCGCCTCTTCATTAAGGATAATATGGTGTGCCCAGATTGCTGCAAAACTTTCAGGTAGGTATTGTGTGCTTGTTCTTGTCATGCTGTATAGGCCCCTCCCCTTGTGGGTTCTGCAGGCCCCGTTTTGGGGGGAGAAATAAAATTGCCCTTAAAAATCATGCTGTAAAAGGCGACTAACTAAGGATTTGCTCATATCGAATATGCCGGGCCGAAAGGTGCAGATATTGCAGCCTTGCTGTAAACCACAACATACCGCACTATTGGCTCTTTTAACTCTTTCAGTCCCTGTAGTTTCAAAGTAGAAAGCCAATTTGGCACATAAATCACAGCCAAAAAGTCAGTGTATGATTGATACAGCATTTACTATGCTGTATTTAAAATATTTGGCCAGATTTCTTTTGTACCAAACGTAAAGTAAGTAATAATACATTGTGCGTTGTGTTGATGTGATACACATGGTGGGCACATACAGTGCATTGCTATGGACAGAAACAGTGATGGGCAACAGCTCAAGAAGTGTAATTTCTGGATGCATTTTGCACCTGTTGAAAACCGCATTGATTGCTGGAAATAGTTTTGAACAGGCCGTTACTCTGACTATATTCAAAACTGGGAAAGAACATATGTACTCTCAAGACAGTATTTACGGTTTGTGTGCATCCCGTAACACTGCATGTTGTTTGGTCACTAGTTGCTGTTTGACTGTCTGATCAGCTCTCTCCACCATTAAGGGTTGGGTGCGATGGATTTCATGGTTTCATGTCTGAACCCTCTATCAGTCAAGTTCTGTAATTAAGTCTTTCTTGGGCTGTCTCTTCTGTTCGACCTGTACTGAGCCCCGTGGTATTGTTTACATCCTAATCTTGATCTGCCTTTTCTCGTCATTCCTTGTACTGAGCCCAGTGGTACTGATTCTGAGAGGCCATAAGATGCAGATCTTTGTCTGTCTTTTCTCGTCATCCCCTCTACTGCGCTATGTAGTATTGTTTTTAAGAGGCCGCTAGATCTTATAACATATCAGCACCATTGCATTTTCTGCCATGTCACACTTTATACTTTTCAGTTAATGATATTTCAGGTTGTAACATCCAAGTCTTCACTTTTCTTGCAGCTCTAGGAGCAACATGATGAAGCACATGAAAGTACATGGAGCCAAGCATGCAGAATGTCCTATCTGCCACAAAAAGTTCCACTACGAGAACTACCTAAAGTTGCACGTGGCTACAGTCCATGAGAAGCAGTACCAGCTGCAGTGTACTCACTGTGGCAAAGTCTTGTACTCCAAGGTTCGAATCCAGTTCATGTTATTCTATGTGGTTACCTACATGGGTGGACTATATCTTCTTCCTTTTTTATTTTTTAAAATTTATTTCTTTCTCCTCCTCTTTCCTTGTTTCTTCTTTTCTTTCTGCATTCTCTGTTTTCTACTTTTTAACATTCGGACTCCTTCTTCTTCCATTTATCCACCATAAGAGCATAGGCCTTTCACTAACTTCTTTCAATCCACACTTATAATTCTGTTGTTCTACTAAGTTATCTACTTATCCTTTAGCTGCTTCCTAGACATCCCTACTAACACTTCCTAGACATCCCTATGTTATTCTTCTTGTTTCTATTTCTGTTCTCCTTTTAACACTAACACTTTCAAGACATCCTCGTGTTATTCATCTTGTTTCTGTTTCTGTGCTCCTTCTAACTCTTTTGTTTGTGGGGTTCCAGTAAAAGGACACGCAAAATTATTATTTTTAAAAACAAAAACAAAACGCATAGCTACTGAGTGGAACATAATTTGTCTCCCCATAATTTTAATATTCTAAATCTTTATAATTTAATGAGTGCATTTTTTTATCAAGCTACACACAAGCTTAGGGTTCAGCCACGACCGGCTCCAGCTGACAGGCCATACTGCTGACATCACCAGGTCAGGCTAACAATGCGATAACACAGCTGATCTCAACCTAGGTGCCGAGGCACCCTTGGGTGACGTGAGCTTATGTCAGGGCTGACGCAGCAGTAATAAAGTCCACAAAAAACTGAAATTATTAAAGAGGGCATGTAGATACTTCTAAGTTAAAATTTATGTTGTCTTTCCTGGCCATTGTCGGAAATAGTTTTTTTTCTTGTTTGAGAACCGTTGTGTTAACACATCTTTAGCCCGACCCACTGATGTCAGTAGCACGGCCAGTCGTGGTTCAACCAATCGAAAGTTCTTGTGCATCGGGATGTCTGTAGTTTTTAGGAATACAGGCATTCATGTCAACTAATAAAAGTACGCCTTTGAAAAACTGTATCTTGTCATCATCTCAGGACACAATTGAATTTGTTTGTCTCGTCTCTTAACCTTTATGCCACAAATGTTAATTTTAGGAGGCACACAGGGCACAATTTATGGTGTGGTTTTTTTCCCCCAGCAGACTGGGCTGATTGCGCACATCAAACAGTTTCATGCAGACACCATCAAGCTGTACCCGTGCCCCAAGTGTGGCAAGACGTTCCGCCAGAAGGGCAACATGAAGACTCACCTCATTTCCCACACCAAGGACCGGGCCTACAAATGTGATTCCTGCACCAAGGTGACTGACTGACTCTCATTTTGTTTGATTTAGTTTCTTGTGTGTATGTTATACTACCTGCAGACAAGTGACTGTCTCATTTGTTCGATTTAGTTTCTTGTGTGAATGTTAAACCTGCAGGCAGATGACTGTTTCATTTGTTAGTGTTAGTTTTTGTGTGTGTCATGTCTGCAGATAGGTGATTTTTTTCATTTGTTCATGTTAGTTTTTGTGTGTGTCATGTCTGCAGACAGGTGACTGTCTTGTTTGTTCATGTTAGTTTTTGTGTGTGTCATGTCTGCAGAAAGGTGACTGTCTTGTTTGTTAGTGTTAGTTTTTGTGTGTGTCATGTCTGCAGACAGGTGACTGTCTTGTTTGTTCATGTTAGTTTTTGTGTGTGTGTCATGTCTGCAGATAGGTGACTGTCTTGTTTGTTAGTGTTAGTTTTTGTGTGTGTCATGTCTGCAGACAGGTGACTGTCTTGTTTGTTCATGTTAGTTTTTGTGTGTGTCATGTCTGCAGACAGGTGACTGTCTTGTTTGTTCATGTTAGTTTTTGTATGTGTCATGTCTGCAGACAGGTGACTGTCTTGTTTGTTAGTGTTAGTTTCTGGTGTATATGTGATGTCTGTAGAATGTTAACTGTCAGTTCATCTTAGTTCCAATGTAAATGTGATAAGTGCAATTCTCTACCATTTTAACGTTTCTTTTCTTGCTGTTTGATATTTTCTCTATTTCAATGGCGATGAGTCAAAAAAGCCCCTACCCAAAGGAGACAGATTTTAATACTGAATATTTTCTGTTTCGTGTTTATGGTCTGTGCTTGTATCGTGACCTTGACTTGCTCTTTGTCTTCACCAGGCATTCAAGTACCCAGACCAGCTGAACCGGCACCGACTGGAACATACGCTGTCCCAGAAATACTCCTGTGAGCTCTGTGACAAGCAGTTTGTGCGCACCTATGAACTGCGCAACCACATGCGGAATTACCATAGTGGATACGTCTATGTGTGTGGTGTCTGTCATGAGTGCTGCGCTCACCGCCACACCATAATCAGGCACTACAAGCGTAAGGTAGGTCATTTAATAGTGTGACTTTAAATTTAGAAAGCACACAACTAATTTTATATGCTCAACTGTTTGTCTAAAGGTTGTAGGTTCATATCCTCAGTGTCCCAATGTTAGTTCTGGGGCCCCAATGTGGGGAAAACGAGAATAGACCTACTGCCTTCCCAACATTTGTGTCATAAAGAGTAGACTAATTGGGATTTCCCTTCTCCATTGTAGGGGAAGACAAGAATAAACACATGACTCCCTAACAAGCACGTTGTTAGGGTTGACTAATTAGGGTGGGGGGGGGGGGGGTGCAATCTTTGAAGGCGGGATGCATCTTCCTGAGAGGCAGGGAACCTGCAGTATGCACACAAAAAAGCCAGATCTGTGAAACGGATGTGCACACAACGCTCAGGTTGTGGACCTGGGGGGGGGGGGTGACGGGGACAAACAACCAGAACTTTCCTTTTTAGTTTACAGCTGCCGAAAGTGAAGAAGGAGATATCCTAATCGGAGAGATTTTAGTATTAACCTGCACAGTCTGTGGCGGCAGGCAGAGCTAGCCATGTGGCCTTGAATCCTCAGACTCAAAGACACCCCGTCTACACTGTTAAAGTCGTTACAGGCAACTGTTGTCCGTTTTTCTTTTTAAATGAATAGAACAAGTAGTTCCGTTCCCTTGCATTTTTTTGCCTGTGGTATAACGCCCCTCAACCCCTGTTATGACCCCAATGGCTTTTTTTTTAAAGATTTTAAAGTTAATGTCGGATTTTCTCATAAGCCTTAGTGATGGAGGTCATGGGGTCACAGCCTGAGTCACTAGATGTAGTTTTTGTCTCCTCTGGGAATGTATTCCAATCAATTCTTCACTCTCTTGGTTTTTGTTGATTACCGCTTTTGTATATCTTTGTATATTTCAGGCAAAAATTTCGTGGAATTCCTCTGGGTTCATGTCATATTGTTTTTAGCATTTGCGGGGCAAAAGGGTTAACACATGAATAAAAAATAACATGACCATACGAGTTGTCGGTAGTGACTGAGAGGGTTGGCTATCTAATCCGGTGAAAAATGATAGCTGCAGAAATCTATGGGGTCCTTGGAATGTGTTGATTAAATGTCTTTTCCTTATTAGGAGTTTCATTTGGAACTGAAAGAGTTAATGTTATTTGGGAGGGGGGATCCTCTATCGCGAGATACTCAAGTCGCTTGTCTCACACTCTGAAGGTCGTTAGTTCATTTCACAGCTGTGTGGGTTGGTTCACAAGTGCAGTTTTTGCGGGGACCCCTGGTGGTCATCACCAGAGCTGCGTTGTTCGTGCTTTGTGCAATACACTCATTGGGCGGCTAGCCTTACTGCAGAGAGAGGCCAAACCATGAGGGATAAATTCCTGTGCAGTGAAGTCGATCATCTCTACTTTAGCCTGCTACGTTTTAGTGAAGTAGATCAACTTTAACTTTCTGCCTTTTAACAACACAGAACATCTCAACTTTAACCTTCAACCTTTTCATGAAGCAAGAAGCCAACAATGTCGCATACCAGCTTGCCCCAATTTTAAAACACCCTGCTGTCCCAGCTGAGATAAAAAGACAAAATTATAAATACAATCTTTATACCGACATTAGGTTATCAATGTCAGACTTGGACATTAACAAAAGAACACGAGAGAAGACTAACCACCTGTGAAATGAGATGTTTGAGAATGGCTGCGAATAAAACCAGAAGAGATCGAGTGAGAAACGATGTGATTACAAGAACTATTGGAACCATACCCATCGTTAAATTTATTGAGAAGCAAATAATGAAATGGTTTGGTCACCTAGTGAGAATGGAACCAACGATGCCAGCATCAAGAGCATACAACATGAAAATCGAAACACTAAGAGGCAGGGGAAGACCAAGAAGAGGATGGATTAAAGGAGTCACGGACAACTTGAGACTTCATAACATCACGGCGACGCCTAGCGGCACAAGCAGATTTTGAAAAAAGAAGAAGAAGAATCCTTTCAACGTTAACCTTAAACTTTTAACAAAGTATCTTTTCTAGATATTAACCTTTTAATGAAGTAGATCTCCTTAGTGTTAACATTGAACCTTTAAATTAAGTAGATCCTCTCAAGGTTAACATTAAACCTTTAAATTAAGTAGATCCTCTCAGTGTTAACATTGAACCTTTAAATTAAGTAGATCCTCTCAGGGTTAACATTAAACCTTTAAATTAAGTAGATCCTCTCAGTGTTAACGTTGAACCTTTAAATTAAGTAGATCCTCTCAGTGTTAACGTTGAACCTTTAAATTAAGTAGATCCTCTCAAGGTTAACATTGAAGCTTTAAATTAAGTAGATCCTCTCAGGGTTAACATTGAACCTTTAAATAAGTAGATTCTCTGAGGGTTAACATTGAACCTTTAAATTAAGTAGATCCTCTCAGGGTTAACATTGAACCTTTAAATAAGTAGATCCTCTTAATTTGATTTTTTTTCCAAACATTTAAATGTCTGGCAACTCTTCCCCAACAGCACCCAGAAGTTGGCAATGTCTTCGAAGAGAAGCCAGAGTTCATCGACTCCCTACAGAAGCCAGTTACAGCAGTCTCCCATTCACGGCTGATGTTTGAGCCGGAAGACATGAAGCCGGGGATCGTCCATATGGGTCTTCCCACCCATGAGATCATAGTCACAGCCGAGGATGGCAGCCATGCTTATTCTAGCAGGGAGATGATTCTTCACCAGGTATTGTTTTTGTGTTCAAGATTGTAGGTTTTTTGTGTGTGTGTGAGGATTGTACAGACTGCTAAATGCTGTATAACTTAGGTTGTCTTTGGTACTGTTGCTGTCCAGCAGCTGAAAACATCGTCATCAAATACCTTGATGACTGACACAGAAGATCTTGACTCTCCACAACCTGTGATCTCCAACAGTCAAAATATACAAAGTAATATATAAAGAATACTTTTTTTTTGCAAGAAATCTGTATCACTGGAAGTTGAAAAGAATCTGTGCTTGTTACATTAAGCCAGTTATAACTTATAGACGTGAGTCATGGACAGTTAGTGAATGCTTAATAACAATCCACTGAGGCCTCAGCAGTATAGTTCTACAAACAACAGTGATAAAATGCTGGAAATTCCTTGGATAGTTAAATGAGCAGTTGAAATATTTTGAAAGAGAAAAGAATTGCTGCTGCTGCAGTAGTTATGTCATCTATGTTGTTATGTCAGGTTTCGGTAGGAGATGCAAGGATTCTTTTGTATGCTCTTTCTAATGGGCTGATCCCAATTTCTTTAAGGCTGTTTTTGATGCCATCATTCCATACTTTCTTCATATTATTTCTTCAGCATGGCTCTCCATGGCATTGGCACCAAGGAAATCTTTGATGCCCAGCCATCTCATCTGTTGCTCTTTATTGAATTGTATAATTAGTTTAAGTCAGTGGTCTTCAACCTTTTTCAGGTGACGTGCCCTTGAATATATGGCAAACCTGTACCCACATCCCCACCCCAGCATAACACAATGTGATTAAAAAGAGGATGACAAAAAAGAAAAATCCTGAGTACTGAACAGCGTGTAAAATACATTGTGCTAGACACTCACTAAGCAGGGACCCCCTCGCCCACAACATAGAAAAGGCCCTGTGACATGACAGGCATTAATGGCAAGGGAAGTCACTCTCTTTCTGGGACCGACTTCGTTACTTGTACCATTTTTGTACTGGAATAAATGTAGATTTTTCATGACAAAATAAGACGTCCTTTGAAAATAAGCCCTGAAGTGTCTTATGGTGCAAGATTTAAATAAGGCCTGGTCTTATTTTTATGGAAATAGCAATGGCTGCTTCATTGTAATTGTACAGTTGTTACATCGATCACTGTTGTAAGACGTGTGATGTGTAGTGTCATCTTTGTATGTCTTCACATTCTCAGACCTCATCAGGTGAGCTAGTGTCAGGAGATCAGAACCTACATGATGTCATGGAAGTCTCCAATGGAGAGCAGACGCTGTTTATTCTGAAGGTATGTGGGTTATGTTAACAAACTCAGCTCAGTTTTGTGGTTGATTGTTCTTCTTCTTTGCGCTGTGGTGGAAAGTTTTCATTGTTTGTGCACTTCTAGACTTAAGTTTTGTTCCATAACTTGAATTTTGCATGCTCATCTGTTTTACATACATGACATACCTGTATGCAGACTGTTGGTTTCTTGCTGCTCAGGCAGATGCACTCTGAAAAGGAGGTGAAAGTCTTCTTGATTATACACCTTATACAACATTCTTGTTAAGGGGACAGTGGGTCTTTTCTCTTTTCAAAATGGGACCCCGGAACCAGCACGGGGAGACACCAGTGCTAGGGAGTGATAGTTAGTGTGATGGTGATTATATAATTCATCGAGTGCTAATTAATCTATCATTCTATCCCCCCCCCCCCTTCCCCCTCCCCACCCCGAAAATGGGCCTTACGCCATATTTGGGATGAACTAATGGCATGAACGTGTCCTTTACTTATAATTTTCCTGTGTACATGTTCAGGAGTGGTAGGAATAGACCAGAAGCATTTTGTAAAGGTCGACTAATTTGGGGTGTTTCCTTTGAAGTCAGCGTGCACCTGTATGAAAGACAAAGAATCAGCAGTTCACATACAAATAAGGCAGATCTGTAAAACTTATGTGCACACACCACTCAGGTTCAGGAATAAGACTCAAGTCCAGAAGTAGACGAACATCCAAAACTTTCTGGTGGGGTTTACTGGCAGTCAGGGCCAAGAAGAGAGGAGAAGAGACTTTTAAGTTTGTGGATCATCTAATTGATAGTCTTATTTATACATTGTTGCGATTGTTTTGACACTGTTATATTTACATGTTGTTGTATGTGACACTGTTGTATTTACATACTCTTGTATTATTACCGTATGGCAGGTTGTAAACCAGGATGAGAATGGAACTATGCAGGAGATGGAGTTGACAGATGACACCAAGGCTCACCTGGCACAGCTGCTCCAAGCTCACGGAGCAGGACAGGACACAATCACCCATATTCGGGTCAGTCTGAGCCATGCCTAGAGCATGACACTGATGGCAGTAGAACTGTTTCTGGGGTCTTTATAAGCATTCTGAAATGATGCAGCAAAAGAAGCCTTCATTCTAAACTCTCAGGTGTGTATCTGCATGGACATGATTGTAGACAGAAAAGTAATGACTGTGAATGGAAATTTTAGTCTTTGGAAACTTTCGCAGGAGACGGAAAAGCAGCTGTTCATTTTCACAGAGGAAATCAATCAATATTCTTTAAAAAAAAAAGTAATGAGTTTCTGAGTGATGTTGAATTTTAGAAACATAATTGTTAGAAGGGTTGTGGCTGTCAGAACGGTAGCAAACACAGAGCTCCCATGCAGGAGACCCGAGTTCAAATCCTTGACAAGGTTGTGAATTTTGTTCTGTCAGGGGCAAAAATAGAATCCTAACCTGCACAGCCAGTGACGACAACACATTAGCGATGCGGCTCTAAATCCTCAGATTCTAATATCCCAAAGCCTGCTCTACAAAATTAGTAGATGCAGGCAGTAGCAATAGGTTTTTTTTTTAAATCATTGAAAAGAAATTTAACATTTTACTTAAATTTCTTCAGTTTATAGACAATGCCTGTGACTTCAGCACAGTCTGAACTAAAAAAAAAAAATATAAAAGGACGGAAACTTTGCGTGCTACAGAAACTGCAAGGCACACCTAAGTCCAGCCAATTAAGAACAGAGGGGTTCATTAGCTCTTTGAGTCCCAGGGGGTTTAGCATCAGAGGCCCAAGGGGTAGTCAAAAGAGACATAAATCGGCACATCTTGTGTTCATTTTGCTTCTAGGTAGGAACCTATGAATGTGTGATGCGTTCCTTGGGACTCAAAGAGTTAATGACAGTGTGTTGTGAAAGGAAGGGTGCATTTTTCAAACATTTACATTTCTTGTTATGCATAGTTAATTTCTTTGCACATTATCTGGCAATTGTGCCTGCTGATAAACATAGACAGACATGTTAAAAGGTGACCAGTTAGGGATGTTTTTCTGTAATGTCGGAGTACATCTGCCTGAGAGGTGAGGACCAACAGTCTGCATGCAAGACCAAAGTCCAGAAATAGTCGAACAGATAAGGTAAAGGTAAAGTCGGGAGATGTGAACCAGCGTCATTGCACACGATTATAAACCATAAGTGCTCTGCCACCAGTACGGACAGCTGACAAGAACTGTCCGCCTGTGTCGCCGTTTGCACGTAACTGTAGCTACAGCGACTTTCCTCCATTTACCCCAGAGTGTTAACACTGGTACCCATTTCCTAGAAGCTGGGTGAACCCCGGGAACCGCCCGGTTTCGAACACCGACCGTGGGCTGCAGCGAGTCGCAGCTGGATTTGAAAGCGAGCTTGTTACTGACTGCGCTAACGCGGCCCCAGTCGAACAGAACTTTCAGCTAAAGTTTACAGCCGATCAACATAAAATATCAGGAAGAAGAAATAATTGAAAGCTTAAAGTTAATTTTTAACTCATTCAAGTGACATAAATATCAGGAAGTTTGAAGTTTATCTGTGAATTAATATCCAGTTTAAATGTCTTTTTTCAACAGTTGGGAGACCAGACTTTACAGATCCAACGAGAAGATGGTTCCACCATCATGGGTGACGACTCTGAGCAGATGGAAATGATTCAGGAGATTAAGTTTGATCCACAACAGCTTGCTGAGCTGCAGAGTCACGGGGAGTCTGTTGTAACTAAACTTGATCCTGATGCACTGGGGATGTCAGAGACTGTTGAGAATATTGTCCAGCAGAGCCAAGCTGTTGTTTCTGCCATGAAGGCGGTCACATCCGGAAGAGCTGCCATGGAAGGGCTGCAGGTAGTGGAGATGGATGGAGGCAGGCTTGGGCATATTATCCATATGGAGGACGGTGGGCAGGTGTTGGAAATGAGTTCAGGTGGGGCACAGGTCATTCAGATGGAGAGCGGGCAGGTGATTCATCTGGAGCAGAGCCACTTGGATGAGCTGGAGCAAGGCAATGGGGTTGTAGTTTCCGGTGATTTTGGAGCTCATGATATTGAAGGGTTGTCTGAGCTGAAGGTCACAAAACGCAGAGGCAGCAATGGGGAAATTGTTGTTGAGGTTGAAGGTCATGATGGGCAGATGGTTGACCTCTCCCACATTGCTGAGGCTCAGGCGGGGTTGTCTTCAGTCGACCTTGAAATCAGCCAGCAGAATCATGACGATCTTGAGGTTGAAGCGGAAGAAAGTATTCAAGAGCACTGTGAAGAAGAGTCTCAAGAAATTCTGACTGAGGTGAATATGACCGACTAGGCTGAAGATTTCCCCATTGCCTGTAGCACCACCTGCCGTGGAACTACTTTGATCTTTTTGTGTATAAAGACAAATTTCCTTAAAGGTAACTAGAGATAGAGGTGGTATTGTGAAGTTCTGACCAAGATGATTATGTCTAACTAGGCCCAATGTGTATCTTTTTTTTGTATGAAATAACCTTCTTTTTGAGTACTGAAAATGCAGACTCTGTCTCCTGCACTATCTGCAGTGTTTCACAAGGAGATGGTAGCTAAGCCACCTAGGGCCTGTTGTTATCTTACACAGAGATAACGGCACTTTCTCCATTGAACTTCTTCTTCAGCAATCTCTGGTCATGCGCATAATCCACTGTGGGTCATAAACTGGGATGTCTTTTCAAGGTCTCTTAGGTTTCCCCAAAGCTTAGTTGTCAGTTCTACTGGGTGTTGCCATATGTCGCTCCGCAGCTCCGCCAGGAGAGGACAGTCTTGCAGGACATGTTCTGGAGTCTGTTCGGCACGAAGGCACTGGCAGAGAGCTGTTTGGCTCATACCTAATTTATATGAGTATTTATTGAGTCTGCAGTGTCCAGTGCGTAAGCGAAAACTCCATGGAACTAGACACACTTTTTTTTTTAGTATTGGAATCACTGGCCTGGTCTTATGTACTGTCTGCAGTATTTGACAAGAAGATGGTAGTAAAAACACCTAGTAGCCATTGTTGTGTTTTCATTGTATACAAAGATAACAGTACTTTCTTCATAGAACTAGACCTACCGGACCATATATAAACTCCCTTCTGGTTACTGGAAACAGAGACACAGTCTCTTGTACTGTCTGCAGTGTTTCACAATGAGATTGTAGTGAAGACATGCAGTTCTCATTGGGCCGAACACATTGTCTTTAAATAATCCATCTTATTATACACCCAGAAAATATTTATTGTTGTTTACCTTCTAAGTATAATTGAAGCAGGACTTAATTGTATGTAATGTTGTCATAACTATTCAAATGCCAGTGTCTGTGTGTACATAATGTAATAGTGCAGCAATGCTGAGGGCATTAACAAACTTTATATTATGCAATGGGGAAAAATGAGTTTAACAGAAAAAGTACTTGACAACAAGTCTGTTATCAGAATCTTAGCAAAATATCATATAGATGGGGGGGGGGGGGGGGGGGGGGTGTCACAACATAGTACCATGCAAAATGTAACCACGTAGTATCCTATACCTTTCCATAGATAGGGAAATTACCTTCTTCTTCTCTTCAACCTTGTACCTCAGCAAAATGTCGGGGGAAGATGTAAAATTTGTTCATGAGCCCTGTCAAGAGCACTATTAAGACTGATGTTCATTTCTGTAAGTCTGTTCTTAATGCCATCATTCCATATTTTCCTAGTTCTTTTGCTCGCTCTATACCCGTTGTAATGTTTTAGTGTGGTTCGCAGTGGCAGATAGTACAAGGGCATTCTTGTTAGGTGTCCAAACCACTTCATTAGTTGTTCTTTGATGACCTGTAAGACTGGCTTTATTCCTAGCATTCGTTTGATTTCATGATTTCGTATTCTGTCTTTCCTTGAAACTCCTGCAGCTTTTCTAAGGCATTTCATCTCTGTTGTCACAATTTTACATTCATTGGAGGATGTAAGTGTAGGAAATTACCAGTTTTGAAAATACATTTCGATGCACATTCTCCGCTGCTGAAGATCCCATACAAACACAGCCGGAGTTATCTTGTAATGGCATTTGTGATGTAAGTTTATTCAAGGGGGAAAATTTGGATCATCGCGGGCCAGAAGCCCGAACCTTTGCTAGAAAGATCATAAATACAATACCACTGCAGTGATCTGCGAGCCACCTGCTGGTGTTACCATTGAGTTTACTGAGTTTGTAGTTTTTATTTTTGTCATTTGTTTGTTTTCCCAGAATGTTTATTCTCAATGATCTTGATTGTGTTCACTAGTAGCCAGCCATCTTACTTACACTTGTAGATCATGGTAACAGTTTCTTTTAATGTAGTGGATCTCTTATACCTTTCTGTTGAATACATTTTGTTCCTCATATGGATTCCGAGGTCCCATTAAAAAAAAAAAAGCAAAGGTCAGCGTGGGTTCAGAGCTATCTTAACAAAATTATGTTTCCCTGGGCAAACCAGTGTGCTGGGGCCCCTAGGACAACCAGTTGCAGGGATGAAATGTAAATGGTTGATAATATTAAACATATACACAGAAAGCATGGGGCTGTATACGCCTGGTGCTCTTGGCAATTGCCTACTGGACCTGTGTGTTAGTACAGCCTTTGGAAGAGAGAGAGAGGGGGGGGGGGGGGGGGGGTTTTATAGACTGCCTGTACATTAACATGCACATGTTGTAGCTATTAGTTTTGTTTTTTCCCATTGCCATTTTGTGCTGGCACAGTTAATATGATGCACATCTTATCCGGTAACAAATTGTATTACAACTGGGTTTTTATGTTGTTTTCACAGCTGTAACCATTAACAGCTCATAAGTTGTTTCACATGACCTCTAAAATCCCCATATAGTTTCCAGGATCCCTATTTTGGGAATGGGGTGGGGGAGTAGACCCACACACAAGCATGTTGTAGACAGAATG